TTGACTGTCATCCACTTATATATATAGCAGATCAGCTATCATCCACTTATATATATAGCAAATCAGTTGTCATCCACATATATATATATCAAACCAGCTGTCATCCACTTATATATATAGCAGATCAGCTGTCATCCACTTATATATATATCAAACCAGCTATCATCCACTTATATATATAGCAGACCAGCTGTCATCCACTTATATATATAGCAAATCAGTTGTCATCCACATATATATATAGCAGACTGGCTGTCATCCATTTATATATATACCAGATCAGCTGTCATCCACTTATATATATAGCAGACTGACTGTCATCCACTTATATATATAGCAAATCAGTTGTCATCCACATATATATATAGCAGACTGGCTGTCATCCATTTATATATATACCAGATCAGCTGTCATTTACTTATATATATATCAGACCGGCTGTCATCCACTTATATATATAGCAGACTGACTGTCATCCACTTATATATATAGCAAATCAGTTGTCATCCACATATATATATAGCAGACTGGCTGTCATCTATTTATATATATACCAGATCAGCTCTCATTTACTTATATATATATCAGACCGGCTGTCATCCACTTATATATATAGCAGACTGGCTGTCATCCACTTATATATATATCAAACCAGCTGTCATCCACATATATATATAGCAGACTGGCTGTCATCCACTTATATATATATCAAACCAGCTGTCATCCACTTATATATATAGCAGACCAGCTGTCATCCACTTATATATATAGCAGACCAGCTGTCATCCACTTATATATATAGCAGACCAGCTGTCATCCACTTATATATATAGCAGATCAGCTATCATCCACTTATATATATAGCAGATCAGCTGTCATTTACTTATATATATATCAGACCAGCTGTCATTTACTTATATATATATCAGACCGGCTGTCATCCACTTATATATATAGCAGACTGGCTGTCATCCACTTATATATATAGCAGACTGGCTGTCATCCACTTATATATATAGCATACCAGCTATCATCCACTTATATATATACTAGATAAGCTGTCATCTACATATATATATATCAAACCAGCTGTCATCCACTTATATATATAGCAGATCAGCTATCATCCACTTATATATATACTAGATAAGCTGTCATCTATATATATATATAGCATACACTGCAAAAACAGATCAATTTCGCATATGTAAAGTATACCTAAGTTCTGATAGACAGAATAGGTAAAATTGTAGTTCAGCTCACTTTTGTGAGTAAAGTATTTGAATAGTATTTTAAGCTACTCTATTGGCTACTGGCAGCTGTGTAGCATTAGAATGCAACATCAAACTCAAATAAAATAAAAGTGTGTTTTCTTTGAAGTCTCTTTCTTTACTATTAAATACTATTGTAAACCTTTCTTTTCATTTTAAAATGGCTCCTATTCGCAAACCAACTGTTAGAAAAGAGTGTCGATGCTCTATCTGTAAAAGCAAGACACTAGGATTCGATCGTGTATCTGTTAAAACATTTAAACGTCATCAAGAAAAAGATAATCATGATATTACACATGTTCAAACGCGTACGGTTAATACATTTGCTTTACTTTACTTTATTTTATTTTATTTTATATCATTTCCTTTTTTATTATTTTATATAATAATAATAATAATAATAATAATAATAATAATAATAATAATAATAATACTAACACTAATAATAATAAATGTGTAGCCCATGAAGACACATGCGATACAATTAGTAGTGCTGTTTCTGAGCCTGTAAATCAAGAGGAAGATGGTTTTGAATTTGAACAGGAAGATGTTGAAATGAATTCTGAGCTTAGAAGTAAGAAAACTTATTTTATTACATT